CCCCCCCCCGCCCCCCTGGAGGAAGTCGATTGGGCGCGAAGGACTCGGGCGTAGGCCGTTCTCCTTTTCTTCGCCGGCTCTCCGGCCCCCTGTGCTTTGTCTCTCTTTCCCTCTCTCCCGCCCTCCCTCGCTCTCGCACGGGCTTGCCCAACAATCTGGACACCCACCCATCCGAGTTGCCTCGGTTGGCTCTCCCGTGGCGGGGGTTCATTGTCAGCTCCCTGGCCGTTTAGGGAGTTCTTCCCCCAAGGCCGTCACTCTGGGAAGCTGTGCCTGCTGCCTTCTCCGGCTTGATGGCCTCGAACAGGAGGCAGGTGTGTCTGGCAGTGTGTGCGTGGATACCGCCAGGGGCGGCGCCCGCAAAAGTGCGAAAGTGTATGTGGTGTGTGTCTCGGGGGGTGGGAGAACCTGAAAAGGGTCGCCTGCGCCACGTCCCCACTCCCGCCCGTTTTGCTCAATTGCTCTTCCTCTCGCGCAGCCGTCGCTTTTCCCTGCCCCTGTTCCCCTCCCCCCTCTCTCTCTCTCCCCCCCCTGCTCCCCCCTCTCCGACCACCACCCTCCCCTCTCCCCACCTCCTGTCGGACCTCTTTGCTGTGTACACGCGCGCGCGAGCTCCCCTCCCTCCCACCCCACCCCCGAGCAGAGCACTGGCCTGGCCATCTTGGTACTTCTCCCCTGCCCAGCCGCATATCCCCCGTCTGGTCTCGATGCTCCGCCACGGCCGAGACTGCCCATTTGTCCTCTCCAGCTTGCCGTCTGGCCGCCAGTCTCTGACCCACTGCACTGTAGACCGCCAGACCGCCGCCCGGCCCCCCTTCTAATGCCCGACCTCTCGGCATGCGAGTTTCCCGTCGCCGTCACCGCCATCCCCATCGTTGTTGTTGATACCCCTCCTCCCGAGCCTCTGGAGGATCGTCAAAAAATGCCGGCCGCAGCCACCGACGAGCAGCCCGATCTGATGCCCCCCGCGGTGGCCGATGCTCCGCCAGCGGCTCCGGTGAAGAGCACCGCGTCTTCCCAATCTGATGACCTGTCTGTCGATGATGTCTCTGTCCATGACAATGCCACGACCACCCCCCCTGAGGGCCTGGCTCAGCTTCTCCCGGTAGACGGTACGATGCTGCCCTTGTCCCCCCCCTCCCCCCCCCCCCCCCCCCCCCCCCCCCCCCCCCCCCCTCCCTCCTTCCCCCCCCCCTCCCCCCCCCCCCCCCCCCCCCCCCCCCCCCCCCCCCCCCCCCCCCCCCCCCCCCCCCCCCCCCCCCCCCCTCCCCCCCCCCCCCCCCACCTCCCCCTCCCCCCGCCCCCTCGCCCCCTCGTTCCCCGAGGG